TCGCCCCCTTCCCCTTACAAGCAGGCAGGCAGGCAAAAAGCCACAACAAGATGGGCTGGGGAAACACCGAGTGCAGCACGGCGAGCAGCTTGGTCCCAGTACTGCAGCCTAGAAATCCCCACCAGGAAAGAGAAGCTGCAGGAAACAGAAAAGGCAGCCCCAGCTAGGACTGCCCCAGCCAGAACGCCAAGCACCAGGGTGTCGAATACCCCAGAAGAAGGGATTCCTGACTCTAATTCACCACAGGAGATTCCTGTTCCAACAGGAAACCAGAGCTACAGCTGGAGAACTCTGCCTCTTGCTAATGGACTGGATGAGCCCTGGAGCAGTTCAAAAGGGACACCAAAAATGGTGAGAACATAGTTTGGACACTGGAGGAATATACCTGAGAAGAGTGAGGGGCAGTGGCCACGTTATCTAATGAACAATGGGAGATATCCAGCAGTAAGCCTGGGAAGTATTGCTAAGGATCTTCTTTCAAGTTATGGCAGGTGAGTGCCTGAGGGTGGGATAAGTTACTCACGAGTGCAGGCAGAGGAGGGAGGCTCAAACCCCAAGAGTCATCCCTGTGACAGTCGCCTGACTTGCCCTTGGTGAATCTATGCTGACTGTTCCTAATCACCCATTTAAGTGCTTAGAAATCGATTCCTTGAGGACCTGCTCCATGATTTTGCTCCAGGGACTGAGGTGAGGCTGACTGATCTATAGTTCCCCAGATCCTCCTCCTTCCCTTTCTTAAAGATGGGCACTATATTTGCCCCTTTCCAATCTTCTGGGACCTCTCCCAATCGCCATGAGTTTTCAAAGATAATGGCCAGTGACTCTGCAGTCACATCAGCCAACCTCCCCAGCACCATTAAGTGCACCCTGTCCAGCCCCATGGACTCATACACGTCCAGCTTTTCTAAATAGTTCCTAACCTCTTTTTTTGCCAGTTGGCTGGTCACCTCCTGTACAAACTGTGCTGCCCAGTGCAGTAGTCTGGGAGCTGATCTTGCCTGCAAAGACTGAGGTGAAAAAGACATTGAGTTCTTCAGCCTTGTCTGCATCCTCTGTCACTAGGTTGCCTCCCCCATTCAACAAGGGTCCCACACTTTCCCTGACCTTCCAATTGTTGCTGACATACTTATAGAAATCCTTCTTGTTACCCTTCATATCCCTTGCTAGCTGCGACTCCAATTGCACTTTGGCCTTCCTGACTTCATCCCTGCATGACTGAACAATACTCTTATACTCCTCCCTATTTGTTTGTCCAAGCTTCCACTTCTTGCAAGCTTTCTTTGTGTGTGTTAGCTCATTGAAGAGTTCCTGCTAAGTCAAGCTGGTCTTCTGTCATACTTACTAGTTTACCTACACACCAGGATGGTTTGTTCCTTCACCCTCCGTAGGGTTTCTTTAAAATACAGCCAGCTCTCCTGAACTCCTTTCCCTCTCAGTCTGGCCTCCCAGGGGATCCTGCCTATGAGCTCCCTGAGCAAGTCAAAGTCTGCTTTTCTGAAGTCCAGGATTCTTACTCTGCTGCTTTCCTTCCTTCCTTCCTTCCCTCAGGATCCTGAATTCAGTCATCTTGTGGTTGCTTCTGTCCAAGTTGCCATTCACTACTACATTCCCCACCAATTCTTCCTTGTTCGTGAGCAGCAGGTCAAGAGAAGCAGGGCCCCCAGTTGGCATCTCCAACACTTTCACCAGGAAGTTGTCCCCAACACTCTCCAAAAGCTTCCAAGATTGCCTTTCAACTGCTGTATTATCTTCCCAGCAGATGTGACAGGGTGACTGAAGTCCCCTATGAGAACCAGGGCCTGTGATTCAGAAATGTCTGTTAGTTGTTTGAAGAAACAGCATTTATCTGACTTGTCATGGGTTTATTTGGGGTGGGGGGTGAGTTCTTTGCAACAATACAGTTGCTCTACAGGGTGCCTTGAATCTAAAAAGATTAGGACCCACTGATCTATAACCTACTAGTAACAGCCAGCTTCTGAAGCAGGCAGCACCGAAGTTTTTCCACCTGCTTTTCTAACACTGTTTAAATCTATCATGGCCAAGTTTTGGAGTCCTTATTCACATCAGCAAGCAGTTACACACGTGTCTGTCAAGACAGCTCATGAGCTACTACTCTCTAGTAAGAACAAGGGGCCCACAATATAGCCACATCACTTTCAAACCCCCACCAGAAACCTTGATTTATACATACATTCAGTGAAATTGCACCCTTTGTTTTCAGTCAAGGCTCCTTTAAAAAAACAAAGTGATAAATATAAGTTATAACAGTTATTACCACATGTACATAACCAATTGACAGGCAAAAAACATGTTTAATACCTCTAGGATCTCAACCCTCCATCTCTAAAACAGAGCTTCCTAAACCAGGATTGAGTATTGAGAACTACACAGGTGCAGGAAATAGGCCTTAACACCTGCACATAATTTACCAAAGAAGACAGCAGCTTTCTCGTTGGTTTTAAAGAGACACCAGTGCATTTGTATTGTTTCTGTGTAAGACCCCAAGTCTACAAACAGCTTGAATGCAGGCTGTTGTATATGACTAGTCTGTTAACTTCAACTGGCTTTTCCATGTACATAAAAGGAAGTATGTAGAAAAGCTGTTGGCAGGATTGGGAATTTGTTTAGTAAATTGGTTTTGTCTAGTACAGGGGTGGGCAAACTGGTGGATTCAGTCTATGGCCGGACCAGCAGTCCCTGCCCATGTAGCTCATAGCTGGTCTCTGTAGAAACCCCAAATTCATGGCACCGTGACAGCATAGAGCCATGACACCATGGAGCCGCAAAACCAGGGCTCTGCCCTGGCCCCAGTCCCAGGCCTGGCTCTATGCTGTCACAGCCCCACACTGCTGCAGCCCCATGATCCAGAGGACTCCATGGAAACCAGCTGGGATCTATGAGGGCAGGGTATGTGACTGGGTGGAGAGCTGCTCTGGGCCGAGGCTGGGATATTGGGATGGTGACAGCATGGGACCAGGGCCAGTGCAGAGCCATAATCTGCTCCTTGGATGTCCCTGCCCACAGAACGCACACTTGTCTCAAAGGCACAGCAGTGCATGGCCCTGCCCCAGCCTGGCCCAGGCCCTGCACTGTCACTGTCCCAAGATACCAGGGTCTCCTCAGCCCTGCCCCCCATCTTGCTCCTGGCTGTGGCTCTATCCCAGCTGCCCAGTCATCCTGTCTGTATGGGTCCCAGCCCTGGTGCTGGGTGCAGGGAGGGTGGGCTGAGTTGCCCAGGCAGCAGGGCGTGATTCGGCGGCAGCAGCTAAGAAGAGCTGCTGCCACAGGGGCTTCTGGGAAATAGAGCGTGCTGCAGGCCAGATTTTGCTCACCCTGGTCTAGTAGAATATAGAACATAGTATTGAGTGTTTGGATTTCTTTTGTTCATTATTCCTTAAGCAGTCTTGAGCAAGATACACAGGTACTCCAAGTCTCCATTTCCCAGGTGTAAAAGTGGGGTAAATATTTTGAGAGCCACAGGTGACAGGCTTTGCAAAAGTGCAGGGGACTATAATAATTGCTAATGGGGATTTGATCTTCTATTCCACCCCCGAGCTTCAAGCTGTTGCAGTGTTCTTTTCATTCCATGATCTTATGTCTTTTCTGAACATTACAAAAGGGATAGGAAAACACAGCACTCAAAAGAAGGCTTCAATTACTCTGCAGATCTGTCAGAGTAGTTTACCTTATGAACCCTATACTAGGTAAAATTACTTCAAATGACCAAGGGCCTTAGGAGCCTACATTCCATTGACTTCCAAAAGCATTATTGGTCAGTAGGGCTGAAGCTCTTTAGGCCTTTGATGTCAATTCAATTGAATACAGAAGCACACCCTACTTCTTTGTGCATCAGATAAAGGCATAATGTGCTTATACCTCATAGCACAATGCCAGGTCTAATTTGTTGCCTCTGTTGCTAACATGATCAAAACCCCGGTTATCTGCATACTGGTAAAGTGCATAAGATTAAATGCATAGCATAGTTCAGCCCTTCTGTCTACTCTAACTTAACTTTACTCTGGTTAACTGCATTGTAACTGTAACTGTCTACTTTTTGTAACCAATCTTATTCTCTGCAACTGCATCAGAAACAGTGAAGGGAAGCAGCTCTCAAAGCGTTGCTATTAGAAGTCTTGAAAATGAAGGTGCCACTCAGTTTCAGGGCTGCCATCTCCCCTCCTTTTCAAGACCTCTAATAAAAGCAGGCCTGAAACTGGCTAGTAGAAGCCTTGAAAATAAGGAGAGCAAGTCCATTTCTGGACTTCTCAGGCCAGAGCTCTGACAGCACCCTGTTTTTGATGAATGTTGTTTCTGTTACTGGTAAGTTTGGTTAGGTGCAAACTCTGAATAAATGCATAGCCCTTTCCAGTTGTTTGGCCCTTAAACAGAGTACGTTGTGCTCCAGATCAAGAAGAGAGGTCTGGCATTGTGAACAATGTCCCCTGAAAGATGACTTATGTAGGGTTGCCAGCTCTGTTTGAATCTATTCCAGGTTTCATCACATGATGTAATGACATTAATGACTGATCTGTACTGTATGCAGGAAGACAAATGTACATTGCTATTACATTTAAAAAACCCGCTGGACTACTGTATAAATTGAATTCCACATTTAACATTTATTTTAATGAATGCCCTATCATTTATCACCTGGGCGATTCTCCGCAGTCTCCTGGAGGTTATATCTAATTCCTGGAGACTCCAAGGCAATCCTGGAGGCTTGGCAACCCTACTGTTATGCCCCCATGTCTCTAAGATGAACACTAATAAGCAAGACACAACTAAGGAGAGGGAGAAGAGAGACAAGACTGAAAGCTTAGTGCTGGAGTTACATGCATGTGCTAGAATCTTCTTTTATAACAAAATAAAGATGGTGAAATAACAACTGAGGGGCAAATGACTTCACATGGTTAAATCATTTAACTGTGCACAGAGGACACATGATGCACTGCCCCTTTAAAAAGCGAAACCAAATGAAGAAGACTCCTCCTCCAGGGTGTTGTCCCTGGAAGGAAAGCATTTTGCAAACTACAAATAGCTGGAGCTGGGTGGGGGCAGTACTATAGCATTCAGTCTGATTCTAGGTGTTAGACAGCAGCACCCTTAAGATGAGCCAGCAGTTTGTGAAGAGCAAACTTGGAGCTAATAAAGTGGCTGTTTTCATAAAACCAACCTGTCCTTACTGTCAGGAAGCTATAGAGCTTCTGAAGAAGTACACTTTCAAGCCAGGACATCTGGAGTTCATTGATCTCACAGCCAGAAATGACATGAGCAGTATTCAGGATTACTTCCTACAGTCAACAGGGGCAAGAACAGTAAGTTTTTGTTGGGTGTTTTGTTTTTTTTTTCTTTTCCAATGACTTTTATTTTACAGTTTCTTAATCTTGCCTTAGTAGTAAAGGCTTTCACAATTCCTACAGATATAATAATACCTTTAAAATGTGCTCGTGTCAGAGGTACTCTTTCTTCTTCCTCTGTAAAGTGGCTTTTGTTACTTTGGAAGAAAATGGATAACTAGCCTGACTTGAATTTGAGCATTGTACCTCAGACCTGGACAAGCTTATTGTTCTACATCAAGCATCCAAACTGACACCTTGCTTTGGAACAACTGTGGCTAGTTTGAGTTAATTGCCATTTAAGTCTCACTAATGAAGGATTGTGCCCAGCAAATCACCTGGGAATCCATCAGTACTGTGTTAAACGGGTTGTCTGTTTCTAGCCCAAAGTATTGAACTACTGTTTCTGTATTACTGACAAGTGCTCTGGCTCTTGCGGAGTTAAGAGATGTGATTTCATCCTAGAAAGGAGAAATCAGCCTTGGATTAAGCTATTTTTAGGTATAAATGCCTGCAAAGTATGGAGAGAACATTCCTTCTGAGACAATAGCAGCTGACTTGAGTTAGTTGCCATTCACACTACATGTGTAAATGCCTGTCTGCCTTCCTCCATCTGTTTCAATATGATTCACAGGTGACAGTCAACCCTGGGATAAACTGATGTTTCTCTTTCCTCTTATAGCAAAGAGGCTATGTTTCACAAGTCGACTGATGACATTTGTTTCTTGTGAACGCATGTTCCACAAAGCCTGGGGCAGGCATCTCCCTGTTGTCCTGTATAGTACAAGTAGCCTAGGTGGAGTAAGATTTAAAATACTGGTTCAGATTTCATATTTGTAGTCTGAGGTAGTGTTACCTGAAGTTTTTAATATAGCTAGCTATATATTTAAAAAAAAAATCATTTTTAGATAGGCATGTGGTTCTGCATGTGTTAGTACTGTGCCTGTAATTTATGAAAGAACAGTCATTGATGACATCCTCTGCTTCAATGCAATCTCTTGCATGTCCCCTCCACCCCCCCCAAAAAAAAAAATCCCTGAGCTCTAGCGAACGCTAGTTAAAATATTCCTATCTTCATGTCCTTGCACAACCCCTTAATCCATCCTTTTTACTTTCTCTGTACCCCATCCCTAAACTTAACCTGTGGCAGCTGTTTGCTTTCCTATTAGGCAGAGAAGGAGATCTGGTACACTCTTCTGTCTCCAGAATAAGGATTTAATACCCACAGAATGAATGGGCAATTTTGCTGCTTGACTCAAATACTCACATGTCTCCAGGGACTTGACTGTGCAGTTTATTTATCCTCCTTACTGACTAACAAATATAATTTGTATGTGTCTAGGTCCCCCGTGTGTACATCGGAGAAGTCTGCATTGGTGGTTATTCTGATCTAGACGCTTTAGATCAAAATGGAGAACTTGTACCAAAACTGAAAGAACTTGGTGCTCTATAGTAGTCCAAAGGTAAGTGGCTGATAGGAACTGGACCCAGTAATGGCTAAATGATATTTACTGATCAGTAAATGAGAACTAATAATATTGGTATTGGCAATATCCAGAATGCATTACTTGAGTATAACTGGGGTTTGTGTATACTTCACCTTCACATAGGAGAATGTTCCTTGATAACCAGTTTCATTGTGCAGCAGAAAACAAAGCTATTTTCCTTCCTTTGTGAAAGCTAGTCAGGGTGACATAAAACAAACTCTGGCTATAGGGCTAAGGAAGATGCAGACCCACAAAAAAAACTGTTGGTGCTCCTTCTTTCAGATCTGGGGGAACACATGACATCACCATCTTGCTTGTATCCAAATAATTAAAGAAAATACCATTCTGCAAAGCTTTTCCTTGCCTGTCTTACCTACCTACCTAGAAACAAAATAGTGGAGCCCCTAGGTACTTAAGCTGGAAAGAGAAGAAATACATCTATAAACGCATGCGTTTTTCTTCTGCTTAAGGCAGACTCTGTATAACAGTGGTGCATGCTGTTGTACAGGAGAAAAGAGCCTAATAATTATTCTTTCCCTTTCTCAAAATTGTTCTTAGTGTCTCTATTACCAGTTACCTATCACTCCTTCATAAGTGGAGGGAACGTTACACTTGACCAAGTGTTTGACTGCATTCTCTTCAGAGAGTAGCTGGCCTCTGTTAGATCTTGGTCCCTGTAAGCTAGTGCAGCCAGACATTTTTCTTGATCAGAGTACATGCAGCCATATCGTCACATTAGTGATTTTTAAATAAATAAATTGGATGCTCTGTATAAGGCTTGTTGTCATTTCTGTAGTCTCTGTTAATCTGCCAAGCTTGTTATCTAATGGCACTATTCTTCCTTTAATAAGATCACTGTATAGATGGATATAATGTCTACTATGGTGATTTGAACCTGCTATCTCCAATGCTAGCTACAGTTTGAGCCAAAGCATGCTCACTCTTAATCTCTGATTTTGTAGTAGGCTTATCTCCTCTGTTGGTTGGCTACTGAAGGTAAATGTATATAGACAGAATAGTTAATGTGTGAAGGAGCCATATCTATGTAATGGCAACATCAACAAAGTATGTAATAGAAACTGTGAGGGTGAAAGGTGTCTTCTGTCATAAAAGAAGGATCAGTCGGGTCAGGAGACTGGATGAATGTCAGGCCTACAGGAAAAGTTATAGTGGAGGTAAGTCCAGGGAGTCTCTGGAAGGTCTCCAGGACCTGCCACCAGCCTGATGACTTGCTTGAGGTTATCTATTTTACTTGCAGCATAGAGAAGTAGAGCTGGAAGGGACCTTTTAAATGTCCTCTAGTACACCCCCCTGCCTTAGGCAGGAAAGGGCCCTGTATGCCACCTTGGTGCTAGATGCACTGATGCTAGTCTCTTGCTACAGTAACACATGGATGAAGATGACTAAAAGCTAGCTGCTACCTTTGTTCTGGGGCTTTGGTTTATGTGGTCAGGGCCAAATCAGTGTTTCAATCTAATCCTAGGGGGAAAAACTAGTCCTAACTTTTTCCATACTTAAGGAGGACAAAATGAGATGAGGGTGCTGGTATTTAAGCATCTTTGCTTTATCAGATAAAGGAAAATGCTAGGATGACATTAACAGGCCACTTAACTAATGCAGAACTTCCTATGCATGCACACTTCAACAGTAGTTGCAGTACAGTAATACCTACCTCTTTCCTTCTCCACACTGTAAGTGGACAGTGCTGTGGCAACTCCTACAGGCCAACAAGGATAAGGTGATGGTTGGGAGTCTGAGTACGTGTGTGAATAAGGGGTGGGACAGAGCATCAGGAAACCACTTGTACTAAAACTTAAAGCCATACCACACCAGCAGAACAAGTAGAGTTGGGTATCACAGGGGAGGTATCAGTTAAAGAACTCTGAACAAGCATTGACTAAGTGATTATGATGCATGACATGGGTCAATTCCTATGCGTTAGATACGCATAAGTTTCAATCTCTCCTCCTCCCACGAGCTGAATAATCACTACCTGGTTTTCCTGGATCAGCTGCTCTGAGGCTCAGTAGATGGCAGCTGATGAATAGTAGTAAGAGTTCATCATAAGCTTTCACTTCTGTGCAGCTTCCCATAGTCCTGCTTGGTGCCCAAATACTAGACACCGGAATGCAGTTCACACATTCTGTGCTAGCATGTGCACATGCTACACGGAGAACAAACAAAGGAAGATGAGTAGTTCTTCCCACAAGAGTTGGCAAAAATACATTGAATCAAAGAAAACTGGGGTTGGAAGGGACCTCAGGAGGTAACTTAGTCCAAAGCCCTGTACAAAGCAGGACCATCCTCAACTATATCACCCCAGTCAAGACTTTGTCTACCTGGGTTTTAAAAATCTCCAAGAATGGAGATTCCACAGCCTCTCTGAGTAGCCTGTTCTAGTGCTTTTCTACCCTCTTCATGAGGTTTTTGTTCATGGCTTTCCACCCCCCCTCCCCTTCCGTATCTAACCTAACCTCTCTTGCTGCAAGTTGAGACCTTTGTTCTGTCATCTGCCACCACTGAGAACAGTTTATCTTTGTCTTCTTTATAACCACTCTTTAAGGCGGGAACAGGCAAAATACAGCCTGCTGGCTAGATCCAGCGCAGATGCAGGGGCAGCCTGAGCTGTGGTGTGTGCCCAGGCACATAGCAGGGCTTGCGGCAGTGCAGCTGCTGGTTGCTGCCCCAAGATCCCAGGGTCTCCATGGAGGCCAGCCAGGAGCTGTGCAGGTAGGGCACTCCACTGGGCAGACACGATCAGAGTGCTCTGCCTGTGCAGCTCCTAGCTGATCTGCATAGAGACCCCAAAATCTTGGGGCAATAACGGTGTGGGGCTGGGCCAGAGCAGAACAGCAATCTGTTTCCTGCACTTCCCTCCCCACAGAACCTGTCCCCATTGCAGGGGCATGTGGGCAACAGATTGCAGCTCTGCCACAGGCCTTGGGCTCCAGCCCCATGCTGCCACCACCCTGCAACCCTGCCCTGTGATCCCAGCCTCACCCATCCCTTCCACTCCTGAACACGGCTCCCAATCCACCTGGGGCCCTATTCCATATAGGGAGTTTTGATGAGATGTTGCATGGGGAGGGGAATAGAGAGAGAGGGTGTTGACCCAGCTGCAGCACCTCAACAAAATTCCCTACATGACCCATGGGCCCAAATAACTTCCTGCCTCTCCTTTAGGGGGTTGAAAGCTGTTGTTAAATGTGCCCCTAGTTTTCTCTCCTCCAGACTAAATAAGCCCAATTCTCTTGGCCTCGGCCTCTCCTTTCCTCGTAAATCATGTTCCCCAGCCTTCTAACCACTTTTGTTGCGCTCTGCTGAACTCTCCAATTTGCCCGTGTCCTTTCTGTAGGGGGGCGGGGCAGGAAGCAAGACTGGACACAGTATTTCAGATGTGGCCTGTGGCAGAAGGCCACCTCTGTATCTCCCCAAAAACTCTGCTCTGTGACAATTCGGTTAAGATGGGCCCAGCAGAGGATACACACCTTAACCCTATCTCTTTAGGTAACCTGAGCTGGATATATTACTGAAGGAGGGGGGAAAACCTGCTCCCTCTGCCTACGTGACTGGTATCACATACCTGGGTGAGGGGCTTCCTCCCTGGTGGGCTAGAGACTGCCAGTCTGCCCGGCAACTAGTGATGTATTTCAAATTGGTTGGCTGACAGCCAACAGGTGCTGGCCTCCATTGGACCAGGTAAATGAGGTCTCAAGGGCTATATAAGTTAAGGACTGCCTAGGAGGAGGGGGCAGCAGCCGAGGGGGAGGGAGGGGGAGAGAGAGACTGGACTGGACTGGACCATCTGAAACTTGCTCTGTCTCAAAACTCGTGATCAAGGAACTGCCTGCCTCCGGAGGGAATCTCCACCTGCTTCTGGATGATACCTGTCAGTAAGCTACCTGAGATCTAACTAGATATATAGCTTGCAGTAACTCGGATGCGTGATCAAAGGCTACCCAACCAGCGGAGTTTGCTCTACGGGATTTCTCTGATATTGCTCTACCCTGTACCCTATTCTAACCCTACCTTCTGTAACCAATAAAGTTCTCCTTTGTACCTAGTATGGGAGACTTATTGGGAGTGGGTCTAGATGATGCCTTGGGGTCCCCTTGGTTCAGGTGACTAAGGGAGACCACTACTTGCCCTTCTGACTAAGGAAAGCATCCAAAATTCTTGAAGTGAATCAAGTACCCTTGAGGCCTACTAGGCCTGTATTTCTCAGGGTGCGCAGAGCCAGAATCAGTCCAGAGCCCTGGGTGGTGGCAGTGGAACCCCCAGGCTAGCGGGTGTGCTCCAGGAAGGGGGTCGGCTAGACGTGAGGCACCCCCAGGGAGGCACTTGGAGCCTGGAAGGTGGTTGGGTGCAGTGAGGTGGGTGGCTTGACGCAGGAGCACCCCCTACTGGCCTGCCACATGGCCCCACTGGTGCCAAATAGTCAACATCTAGACATCCTTTAAAAAATATATGATAGATGCTTGTAATACCCTGTCCCTTAAAGCTTCCCCTTGCTATGAGTTAGTCTGTGGAAATACAAATCCACCTGTCTGCTATTGGACAAACAGCATATCAGTTATGTGACTGAGTTCTTTGCTTGGAGGGGAAGAGTGGGGGAGACAGTGGGGGGGAAAAAAGTAAAGTCAAATTTCCCATCTCTCCTTAAACAAGCACTGCCTTTGGGGAAGGAAGGAGGTGGCTGGGGATGCGGGGTGTGTGGCTATTCTTTGTTTTTTGTGGGGTGTCTCCTAAGAATGCAACTAGATCCTATTTAAGAAACTGGTGCTCTTGCAAAAATGCATTCTCTGACTAAAAACAGACTACCAGTTTAATCTGGGGCTGATTTTAGTCTAGTATAAGGTTTGACTCCTCCAAACCGGGGCAGTACGGTTACTTTCACAAGAGCCTTAAATGGCAATTAACTGGAATGGTTGTTGATTTGGATGCTTCACAGGTATTGATGTGGTACAGTAGTCTTGTGCCTGTAAGATCTAGGGTTTACTAGAAGCCATTTCAAATCAAACCGTTTATCTCTATGTGGGTTTTTGTTGTTGGATTTTGTATTTGTTTTGTTGTGGGGTTTTTTGGTTCTTAGCCTTTTAGTAACTTGGTCTCCGTCTCAAAAGATCTGCAGTCCTTACCCTGTGTGTGTATGTGTTTTTGTTTTGATGATTTTTTTTTTTTCTTTTTCTTCTTTAATTCCAGGACAGAGATGGCCAGAAGTTTGCCACAGGAGTCTTGGAGAACAAACGTCCTGTCAACCTCCAGTTTCCTTTGCTAATTCCATGAGAAACAGGGTTGAGATATAATTACTTTTGAAAAATGGTCCCTTCTGAAAAATGCTGTAATATGCTGCTGCTCTTCATCCTGTGTAATACTTACAGGAGCAAACTTGGAACCTGCTTGGGCAAGCAAACATTTTACTCTACTCTGATTTTGTTAAGCAATATCATTGTTCTCTGTATAGTGCTGTCCATAAAACCATGGCCAGCATTTCCCTTCTCTGTCCAATTCCCTCTCCAGTTCTTGTGTTCTTTCCCTTAACATAGCTGCCAACAACTTAATGCTTTCTTATTAATACAAAGAATCAATTCAACTGAATTGTAAGTTGAGACCATGTAGAGGCCTGTATCCTGCCATGTAACTGGTAACATTACTATAACCTCTCTTACATAAGATGAGGGGAGTGCAAAAGTAAATACTTATCATTTATCAACATTCCTCTGTATCTTGTTCTTTATTACAGCATACAGGGATAAGCAAGAAGTAGCACTCTAGCTAATGCATCTGGGTTGGGAAGTCGAGCTTTGAAACCTGGAAGCACCCTCAAATTACTCCTAACATTGGCCAATGTAAGGACTAAAGACAGGAAGGCTGTGCTGGATAATGAACTGGGGTGCAAGTGGGATGGCTGGCAAGTGGAACTGATTAGAAGCATTGCCCAAAATGTGTTGGCTTGAAGTGGCTAACTTTGAATACCAAGCTCTCACTGCCTTCTACAAGTGCCTACTCCCACATCCCTTTTTCTCCTTGCCTCTCTTCAGTAGTAAAAGGAAGGGGAGGGCTACCAATATTCACTTGTGAATGACTTGTGTCTACATTTTTAATGGCAAAAAACTTCCATATAAAGAAGAATGATTTTTCTCTCTCACTTTGCTGTTTCTGTGTAGTCTTGAGAGGCTCTTTGTGCATGAAATCCATATTCTTTTTGAACCCCTTATGAGAACAGTGAAAACTTCCCCTAGCTGACCTGGGGGAGGGGAGACAACTGTTTCACAGCCTTGACCTAGGCTCCTCTGGAAGAGGGATGTGGGGAGGACTTTCACAGATCTAGCTATAATGGATCGCTGCTGCCCCCTGGAATGGTATACAATGCAGTTTCTCTCTAGCTGGAGAGTGCTGTGTGATGCAGCACTGATATGTCCCCCTAACCCAGAGGTGGACAAAATGCAGCCCACCAGGTCATTCTATCTGGCTCGCAGGGCCCCTAAAATTTAGAAAATTAATATTAATCTGCCCTGGGCTGCCTGTCATGCTGCCCTCTATGGCTTGCCCAAACTCAGTAAGTGGCCCTCTGCCCAAAATAATTGTCTGCCCCCTGCCCTACCCTCTAGCTTAGAAAGCAGCCTTGCAGCATGTCTGTGCTGTAAATGTCTCTAGGGTGAGTTCAGTTCCTTCTTACTACTGCATTTTTCAGTTAACCTCTGCAGATATGGAAATAGAAAACTTCAATGGAAAAAGAGACCTTCTTAGCTGACAATGGAGATGTCATAAACTTCCTCCCATCTTGGAAATTAAGTGAGACAGCAGTGTTGTATTTGCTAATTTTACACTTCTTCCTCTTACCAAGGAATTCAAAATCATGATACAGAAAGCTTCTCAGATTTGAGGTCAGGACACTTCTTAAATCATTATCTTCACTCCCCGCTATAACAGCTAATATTCTTGCAGGTAGTAAAACTTTCTTTGCCTTTTAAATATATAACTGCTTGCCATGCTGAGAGTTGAATTGCACAAGATCTCTCTCTTTGTGCTTCCATAAGCCCACAATGTGGGATTAGGAGTATGTACACTACTCTCACCTATTTTCATGAGGCTGGGTCAGCAGGA